GAATTGACCTCAGCAACAAGGCACAGTAAACTCATTGACAGACTGCGGCCATGTCGGGTGGTGGCCAGTCCTGGTCTGGCTTTTCACTGGTCCACAGCCACCCTGGGTGGTGAAAGGAGTGCAGACAGTGTCTCCCTCCTCGTGGACTTCATGGGTCAGGTGGTGAAAGGAGAAAAGCAAACATGGTGTTGAGTCCGGTCCAGCCAGTCTCGGCTACTCTTCTGGCACGGAAACCACACTTACCATGCTTCTTCCTGAAAAGACACACGTGGGTGGACGAGAACTGGGACAACATCCCAGGGGGTGGGGGGCTTCTTACTGACATTGCTTCTTATGATTGTGAAAACAAAGTGGTGCACCAAGTCTGAGTCCTTGATACAGTAAGAAAAACTCTGGAGCAAGATGGGGTAGAGAGTAGGGGGCAGTAGTCGGGGTAGTGGGAGAAGGAGGAGGCAGTGAATCACTTATAAATGGCACCGGAAAAGAAGAAAAAAAAACAAAACTCCAGTGAGCTCCAGGTGGAGACCATGAGGAGGAAAACAAGGCGTCGGGAGGCGGTACATCCCGTATGTTACAACCCAGTGGCTCTGCGATTGTGTTAACTTACTGAATTGCATCTTGCCCTAGAGTTTCCACCAGGGGTCAACTGCTCCTCTCTCTATGCATACTGTATTTCCTGAGAGTTTGGCTTCCATTAGGTGTTAAAGAAGGAGCCATGGGTGGCGGCGGGTAATACGAAAGGCTGGAGATCTGTTTCTAAAAAGATTCACGGCTTTGGAAACCCACAGGGGCTGTGCTGATCTCTCCTGGAGGGTTGCTATGAGTCAGAATTGAATGGATGAATCACAGTGGCTTTGGCTTTTGAGTATGTGTTAAAGACCCTTGGTGGCACAGTGGGTTAGGCATTGGATTGCTAACTGCAAGGTCAGCAGTTCAGACCCACTCATTTCTCTGGGACAAAGACGAGGCTGATTGTTCCTGTCAAGAGGCACAGCCTCAGACAGCCAGGGGCAGTTCGATGCTGTCCTACAGCGTCACAAGGAGTCAGCATGGTCTCAATCGATGGCACTGAGGTTAGTCGGATTTCTTGATTTGGAAATGCAATGGTTACCAGCTCAGGTCCTGGTCAAACTAGTGGTGATGCAAACCCACCTAGTGGCTTGGGCAGAAACGACCTGGTGATCTCCTGTAATGGTTACCATTGTGGGATCCTTTGTTTGTAGGGTTGCTATGAGTTCCCTTCTTCTTTTTGGTTGCTTGGCATCCCTTCCCAGTGTCAGTGAGGCAGCAGTGTCTAAGCAGGGAGAATTCACTTTCTAGCATGGCTGCTCGTTTCCTCTGTTTCATAAACCAACCCATGGAGCAATGGAACTGTTTCCTTCTCTTCCAGTCACAGCTCCTGTTCACTCCACACACACTCGCCTCCTCTGGCCTTCCGCAGCCACCTGGTTTTCTCTGACTGAACCATCATCCCAGGTATCTCCTTGCATCGCATCATGCTCTGTCAGGAATCGGCTCTAGCTCCTTTCTGACTTAGAGGCAATCCCCTCAGACCCAAAAGCCATTTGTTATGGACTGAATTGTGTCCCGACAATGTGAGTTCTAAATCCTAATGCCAATGGTTGAAGGAGCCCTGTTGGTACGATGGATTAGGCATTGGGCTGCTAACCACAAGGCTGGTGTGGTTCAAACCCACCAGCTGCTCTGAGATAGAAAGATGAGGCAACCTTATTATCTCAACCTCCATGGAGCAGTTTGACTTGGCCCTGTAGGGTGCCTCTGAGGTAGGATCCACCCAATGGCAGTGGGTTGGGGTTTGTTTATTATATTGATGAAGCAGTATTGGTGCAGGGTGTTTAAAATCAATTGCTCAAAAGCCAGCAGGCAGAGTGGGGAAGGCAGTGTCCATGCCATAAGAAAGTTGTCAAGGGTCCAGGAACAGAAGTTGAAGAGAGACAAGGCACAGAGGTTCCCTAGAGCCGGTGCCCTGAACCCTGACCGCTGCCTTTTAAACTGTGAGAACATGACTGCCTCATCTTTAAAGCCACCTCCCTGTGGTATTTGTGTGACAGCAGCTGTTTTGGAAACCAGTCTGGTTGCTGAGGAAAGTCTGACCTTTCTTGTGCTGCCCCTACAAGATCGTGTCACCCACGCTCACCTGCCTGTGTGCATGCATGTCTCTGTACAAGGTTGTGAGATGCGGGGACAGCTAGAGTAGTTCAGGGCATGTTGTAAGTATTTAAGGAGCGTCGGGGGTGCAGTGTTTAAATCTAGACTGCCATTGCAAAGTTCTACAGTTGGAACACACCGATGACTTCAACTGGGAAAAGAAGGGGATGCCTGCTTCTGGAAAGATTTACAGAAATGGGTACCCTACGGGGTTTCACCACTCCATCCTAGAGGGCATCTGCACTTTGGGATTGATGCAATGGCAAATGACCTTTTAAAATGTTTTTTTTTTTTTTAGGAATTTGCAGCACTCTAGGGTTTAAGGATCTGAACAGGCTGTTTTGGTAGTGATAGCTGACTGCTGCTTCAGCTCTACCGGAGCTCCTCCATGAACCTGGGACTCCAACTTAGGGTGTCTCTCTGACGAGAGAAACTGCAGGAGTAACCATCTTTGTGGGAAATAGATGCTCTACCTTTCTAATAGGGAGGAAAGGAAAATCAATAATCCGATGAGCTTTATACTGATTCTGGTTCTGCTTTTCAATAAAGGCAAGGCTATTTCTACATTTGCTGATATTAAAACCAGAGAAGGAAAAGAAAATGTATAGTGACTGAAGTGCCTCCTTAAAGGTCTAGAGGAAAAACAGAGGCAATTTAGCATCTCATAGGGTAGCTGACTCTTGGGAAAGTAATTCCTTGTGTTTGAATAGCTCTTCCATCACTATTTCTGACCCAGCTTCACCTCCTCCCCCTCCAACAGCACCTACATGCCCACGCCAGGTCAAGTCATGTGAGAGAGCATAAAACAAAGAAAAATGCCCCAAAATGGAAGTTTTATACCTGAGAAGGTTCTGACATATTCTAATCTAAGACATTGCTGAGTCTGTTTCTTGTTTTAAAATTTGGGTTTAAAAAAATTGGGTTTGGCCACGTGGTCAGGGTCCTACATATAGAAGTTCATAACTAAACTTCAATGTCATTAAACTAACCTTAGATGTAACACAATCTATAAGACATGAGCTTCCATGGCATGTTGCTTCAGTCTTTCCCCAGGAATGTTTCTTGCTTAGGCACCTCTGTGTAAGGTAAGGAAGAGTAGAGATACTTGGAGACATTCAGGAGTTCGTGAGATGGTAATGGACAGGGTCCCCCATCAGCATGCATGTCATAGCAGGGCTCAGTCTCCGATGTCTCCTGTCCATTCCATTTCTCATGTATGGAGTTTCAGTCTTCACACGGCTGCTCTTGGGTATTCACACTCATATTCCTGCCTCTCTCCGGAAGTCACCTCTGGAGTCACTAGCTACTCTACTGGCCTGCCGTGTGTCTCCTGAAGCCACCTCTACCCATCTGGACCTCTGCTATCCTGACTCTGGCTAGTTTGAGAGTGAGCCATGGGATCCCCTGTGGTTGCTGTCGCAGAGATCAGGGTGATGCTCGAGAGAGATGGACTTTGGGGAGGAAGTTCTATATTCTCATGCTTCCTTGACTCTAGCTATTGTTTGGAAGGCTCTCTTTCTACTGAAACCTACTTGGACTTTCTCCAAGTCAGCTCATCGTGAGAAAACATGCTGCCCACAAGATTCAAGGAGCCATTCTCTTTGTTACACATAGAGCTGCTCTCTGCAACTTTAGTAGTTCAAACCCACCAGTTGCTCTGCGTGAAAAAGATGAGACTGTCTATATCCATAAAGTATCAGAAATCCAAAAGGGCAGTTCTATACTGTCTTATAAGCTTGCTATGAGTTGGAATCAACTCAGTGATAGTGAGTTTGGTTTTGAGTTATCCTGGCAAAATATTCACCATCCCTCACCCCAGGTTATTAGGTACTTTTGTCTACTGGTGGTGGTATGGGATAAGCACTGGGTTGCTGACTACAGGTCAGTGGTTCAAACCTATCAGCCACTCTGCTGGAGTAAAGTGAGGCTGGCTTTTACTGTGAAGATTTAAGGTCTTGGAAACCTTATAAAGGGTCACTATGAGTTGGAGTTGACTCAATGACAGCAGGGTTGGTTTCTCTACCGAGAAAACAGAGACTTTCTCCCAAATATGCCAAGGGGTGTTGATTTGCTTTGCAATATGGCGACAAATGAAATGTGGAGTTGGTATACTGTTTCTGAATATTTGAATCAAGCTTTTAAGAATTGTCTAAGGTTATATCTACATGATTGAAGCAGAGTTGATCATGAGTAGTGAGAACTTGAGACATAATTTCAGAGTTCCTCCTGCATTCGGGTTATTGAGGGAAAGAGGTAAACATTGGGTCACCTCTGTTCTAAGGTCCTTTAGCTGAGTCTGGATTCTGAAGAAGGCAGCTGCAGCAGTTTCTCTGTAGAAGAATGGAGCTGGAGAAGAGGGTGCGGGCACTCTCAGGCTGAGGGAGACAGTAAGGATGAGGAGTTCTAGTGGAGAGTACAGCACATTCCAGAAAACAGATCCACGAGCACAGCCACACTTCAGCAGACCTCGATGGGGTCAGCACCTAGGCTTCCTCTCCTACATGAGGCCATGTTGAACGGCCTGTGTGGACAAACACCCCGCTACAGAGAACTTGCCTAAAAAGAGGAACCATGATGAGGCATCAGAAAAAGGGCAATTTCTTCTTTATTGAGAGTTCATAATAAATATTTGAAAGAAAAAATAACTATTCAATGGAGTTACACTAAATTTTAAAAATATTTTGGTAAATATGTGAAAATGTGTAACTGCTCAAATCCACATATATAACTCAATGACATTGGCTGCAATTGTCACTGTGTTGTGGGTTCATTTCTTGACTACACGTGTCAACCATTTGCAAATTTCTATTGCTGACCTGCTCATGCCCCGGTCTATGAGACTTAATGGACAATGCCTTCATTTTCTGTGATCTTACACTTATACAATACTAGAGGCCTCTGTAGTCTCTCCAGGAATTTGTAGGAAGATATTTCTCCTTCACTTTCTGCCAACACTACTTTCTAGTCTCCCCCATAATCACTTGAGAGAAGGTATTACGAATTAAGACTTTATCACTGGCAAAACAATTCCCTAAAGTCGCTCACCCCAGTCAACGTTTCTTAGCTGGTCGATATTTAGGTGGAG